TTTCTCGGACTGGGACCTGTTCATATACGTTCTTGGCAGATGATCCAGAAGTGGTTTGCCATTGCCTTCTTCTGTGTGTGAATGGAGTAATTGTTGGGATGCCACGGAGGAAAACTCCGTGTGTCTGACGACAGGTCCATATGAACAGGATCCTTCCATCCTTTTCTCGGACTGGGACCTGTTCATATACGTTCTTGGCAGATGATCCAGAAGTGGTTTGCCATTGCCTTCTTCTGTGTGTGAATGGAGTAATTGTTGGGATGCCACGGAGGAAAACTCCGTGTGTCTGACGACAGGTCCATATGAACAGGATCCTTCCATCCTTTTCTCGGACTGGGACCTGTTCATATACGTTCTTGGCAGATGATCCAGAAGTGGTTTGCCATTGCCTTCTTCTGTGTGTGAATGGAGTAATTGTTGGGATGCCACGGAGGAAAACTCCGTGTGTCTGACGACAGGTCCATATGAACAGGATCCTTCCATCCTTTTCTCGGACTGGGACCTGTTCATATACGTTCTTGGCAGATGATCCAGAAGTGGTTTGCCATTGCCTTCTTCTGTGTGTGAATGGAGTAATTGTTGGGATGCCACGGAGGAAAACTCCGTGTGTCTGACGACAGGTCCATATGAACAGGATCCTTCCATCCTTTTCTCGGACTGGGACCTGTTCATATACGTTCTTGGCAGATGATCCAGAAGTGGTTTGCCATTGCCTTCTTCTGTGTGTGAATGGAGTAATTGTTGGGATGCCACGGAGGAAAACTCCGTGTTGCCTAGACTACGGCCTTGCCCAACACAAGTTATAAATTCGGGCACCGCCGGGAAGCGAACCCGAGACCCCAGGATTACAAGGCCAGCGTTCTTACCGCTATACCATGCAATGCAATGTTTGATAAGACGAGGCAGGTTAGGTTACATATTTAAAATCCAAAATTTCGCCATGCACGCACGTCGAAACTGTGGTATTGCAGTAGATATTACATTTTTGCAGTGTTTTTAATATGAAGGCTTAAGAATGCACTGAAGCGTCAGAGAGTTAGTACTCGTTCATTAAACTAAAGTGGAACACGATTTGTTCTATTAATTTCAACTGCAGTATCACAGAAACAATGGAAGCTGTTAACAGACATGTGAACAGAACACGTTGCTACTACCACTGACGTAATAAGCATGTAACGGGACTCAGGGACCTTTCCCAAGGATTTCACAAATGGACGTCAACAATACCATGTAGAAAGTCGCTCAGAAGAGAGAGTTATTTCAAGCAGTAATGCATATTTACTCGGGCACCAATAATAACACTTCGTTCAGGGGACTTTACAGCAAAGCCGTGCACCAGGACACAGAGGTAGCGTGTGTCAACCTCGAGGTATCCGGTTTCAATATGGCTGCCTTGATTGGCACTGGGTGTTTGTTTGTTTGTTTGTTAACTATCTGCCCTGCCCTGTGGTGATCACAACACGTCTCGCGAAAATAGTTCAGACAATTCTTGTGTATTAGACTGTAGTTTTATGAAAATAGGAGTAATGTGTTGATGAAATATGCACTTTTAATGTCACTTACATTGAAGTTAAGGTAAAACTGTCCCACTATACGCCATGTAGACGCTTGGGGGGAGAGGCGGTATAGCTCCTACTCATTCTTGACCTAGGCACTAGATGGGTTGAGTGGTCAACATCACGCCCCGGCCGGCTTTACCCCCCGGAAAGGACCCCCGGTACCCATTGGACTGGAGGCTGGGTGGGCCCCAGAGGCTAGAGGAAAAATCCTCTGCCCCCGTCGGGGATCGAACCCCGGTCGTCCAGCCCGTAGGTAGTCACTATACATGGAAGATAAGTGGAAAAATTATGGAGCTATGCATTTTAATCCTAAGGGTTCTAGGTAGAACCTCGTTGACAGAGGAAGGAGTAGCCACGGTAGCCTAGGACGGACGCTTGCTTGCAGCGACGGCCAACTCCTCCTGTGAACGGAATTGGCTTAAGTAATAGCACGGACACTCTCCCTTCAACTCCCATAAGCAACTTCTGCATATATTCTGTACTTCATGGCTACTTGATGTCACACTAACCCATTGTCTTTTGCAGTCAGCGATCTGAGTTTCCCTTTCACATACGTCACTTTTATTTTCGTTTGAGGAACTTCGTGTTTTTGGGTTAAGTGTATTTCAAGACTGTGTTTCAGCAATGCATAAAAAATTGTTATTATTGATATTATCCTATTAACATCTTAATAATAATAATACGAATGATAATATTAAAATAGATAATAGTCGTCACAGCATGGTGAGTCCTAGGGATTACGATGGAAGAAGTTGCTTCTTCTGTGAAAAGTAACTGCGAATATAAGGTCCCAAAAAGATCATTACATACATTTAATTAATGAAATAGACATTTTAATAAATTAAACATACGTCAGTATTAGCACTGTGCTGCTCATGTCATCTGTTTAATTATTAACAACTCGCCATTAAAGACACTAGCATGTAACTGAGGAGGACCTTTGACGGATTGCCTGAGTCTTCCGCAACAAAATTCCTTCTGCTGGTTTTCTCGATATAGCAGTATTTAAAACGAAATTGATCATACTATTACTGTTAATAAGTGCGTCCGTAGAATGTCCCGTGTCTTCGTCTCAACGCTAGTCTGCTACTGAGAAGCTGGTGGTTTTAGATTAACTGTAGTTGTTAAACCTGCACAAACTAGGTCGGCCACAAAACAGTGGTGTTTATCAGCATGTCCCTGTGTTTTCAACGCATACCTGTCGAAACATAAGCATTGTCAATGTGTTCCCATGTTCGGACAAATTCACTCCAGATGACGAAACCCGAACAAGGATTATATTGTGCCCCCCCCTGATATTATTATTTAGTGTTCTGTCTGACGACAGGTCCATATGAACAGGATCCTTCCATCCTTTTCTCGGACTGGGACTGTTCATATACGTTCTTGGCAGATGATCCAGAAGTGGTTTGCCATTGCCTCCTTCTGTGTGTGATTGCAGTAATTGTTGGCATGCCACGGAGGAAAACTCCGTGTTGCCTAAACCACGGCCTTGCCCAACACAAGTTATAAATTCGGGCACCGCCGGGAATCGAACCCGAGACCCCAGGATTACAAGCCCAGCGTTCTAACCGCTAGACCACCGTAGCGTTGGGATGCCACGGAGGAAAACTCCGTGTTGCCTAGACCACGGCCTTGCCCAACACAAGTTATAAATTCGGGCACCGCCGGGAATCGAACCCGAGACCCCAGGATACAGATCAAAATAAATATCTGGTTCCTAATACGAGGGCCTAACTTTGTTTTGGACAAGAATTACAAGCAAAGGGGGTATTAAGTGGGGATTAGATGGAGATAAAGGAAGTGATGTGAAGTGAAGTGTCTTAGTCTCGAAGTGATGAAGTGACTTCAGTTCTTTGGGATAAGATTATCAATTATCATGTACTGAGGTCTGACTTTGTATTTGAGGTTACTCTAAAGTATTAAGATTACTTAATGAATGAGTGTTTTTGAAATGTGTGTGTCCGTGTAAGGTGTGGATGTTCTATTTATGTGTGTAGGGTGTTCTATGGAGTGTACTTATTTTTATTGTATATGTTTTTGTTTAAATCTTGTCAGTCTAATCACAATAAAATTCCTATTAAATATTAAAATATTACCATAATTAACATTTAAATATTTAAAATATTAAGTGATGTTCTTTATCGAAATATTCGATTTACATTAGAACATTTCGATAGAGAATATCATTTAATATATTTTAAATATTTAAATGTTAATTATGGTAATATTTTAATATTTAATAGGAATTTTATTGTGATTAGACTGACAATATTTAAACAAAAATATATATTTATCACAATATGACGCAACTTTATCATCTCATGTATATATTTTGTTGTAATGGTGTAGTATAAGGACCACTGCCACCTAGTGCAACCCTAATTGCAGTAAATAATAATAATGTTAAATTTTTAGAATGTTTCTTATCCATTATAGCTTTCGTAATTTCGAAAGGAGATACGCTTTTAAATATTTTCACTACTTCGATTCACGTCGAAAATTCATTGGACTCTCCGTATTTGCTATAGACGTACAAACATTTCTGTTATTCCTTACAGATTTAAGCCACATTGTTCCTAATTATGACATTAAGTTTTAAATGTCAATTCAAGTGAACGTAAAGGTTAGACCGCAATAATACGTGCACGTACAGAATGGCCGTGACTTTTTAACTTCGTGGAAAAAATATGGGCCCTATATAGGACTGCTTTTACAAGTATATATTATTCTATGTCTCACTGTTTCTCATAAACTCTGCAATAAATATTGGTTTGTCTTAAGATACTAAATGTCGTATACAGAGTATGGTCTAAGTATTTAGCAAACAGAATATTGTGAGATTATTCCTATTTGCACAAATAAATCACTAGATTTATAATGTCTGATATACTGATAAATACGCTGTCGCTATCAAACTATTTTCATAATATAAATTTTATTTCTTAATATATTTTCTCTAAAGTTGATCACCTATTCCCTCGTTTGACCTTGGCTCCCTGCATCCATCTCATTTCCGAAGGTCAATTGTATGTACCTTCAGGTTAACTGTGTAATTAATCTAGCCGTAGGCTATAATAAATAACCGTTTTAAACGATATCCGAGTTTCTTATTGTTGAATTATGACTTGTATAAATGCTCATCACAAATATATTTTATATTATTTATAGTTAATTTCGTTCGGCCATAATTTTTATAGCATTATCCGCTTCGCCAGTTCATAATAATATAAAGTAGCTCTGAATAGTACTCCGTTAATCGTTAAAATGTATTATATATAACCATTCGCTCTGTTTTGAAATATGTATTTAACATATACGACGTTTCGATACTTTAATCTGATATATCCATCGCATCTTCGCAGAACAAGACGTAGGCATATGCTGGCTCGCCTAATACTGGAAGGCTAAACGTGTTGTATAAGGAATTTGAATACTCACGTTGGCTGCAGGCTTTGCAACGTGTGGTTGGCAACGTAGGTTTTTACAGCAACGAAGACGTAACACAACAAAAACACATTACGTCTGGTCCTAACACTAATGAAATACTACGCGCACTAACATTGTACAGTACTGGACAAATTCTGGACACTCACTGACTGACTTGACAGTGTCTCGCTGGACTGCATCTGGAATCGTGAAGCAGGAGAAAGGGAAGGTGAACTGGAGAAATCGAGAGGTAACACCCACTCTACCCTACCCCTCCCCCCAACTTGGCACTAGCTGCGAGGTGTGGTACATTCTTTGTAAGATCACGAAGATAAATATTGCAATGTAAATTTTACCAGGGAATTTCATTACGAGATCTGATGTGGTCGAAGTATGAACTTGTCAGACAAGACTCAGAATATTTAGGATGGTGCATCAACCTTGAGGAATTGTATAGATCAGTGGTATTCAAACTTTTATGTTCGTGTACCCCCAGATATAATTTCTCTTCAACTTTGTACCCCCAAAGTTGTTGGTGTATAATTCAAGTTATACATAGTATATAATCTACATCTAAAATAAATTAAATAAATTACATTACTGATTATTCAGTGTTTATCATAAAATAATATATATATTTTTTTTAAATTTCACGTACCCCCTAAGATGTCTTCGCGTACCCCCAGATATAATTTCTCTTCAACTTTGTACCCCCAAAGTTGTTGGTGTATAATTCAAGTTATACATAGTATATAATCTACATCTAAAATAAATTAAATAAATTACATTACTGATTATTCAGTGTTTATCATAAAATAATATATATATTTTTTTTAAATTTCACGTACCCCCTAAGATGTCTTCGCGTACCCCCAGATATAATTTCTCTTCAACTTTGTACCCCCAAAGTTGTTGGTGTATAATTCAAGTTATACATAGTATATAATCTACATCTAAAATAAATTAAATAAATTACATTACTGATTATTCAGTGTTTATCATAAAATAATATATATATTTTTTTTAAATTTCACGTACCCCCTAAGATGTCTTCGCGTACCCCCAGATATAATTTCTCTTCAACTTTGTACCCCCAAAGTTGTTGGTGTATAATTCAAGTTATACATAGTATATAATCTACATCTAAAATAAATTAAATAAATTACATTACTGATTATTCAGTGTTTATCATAAAAAAAAATTAAAATTCACGTACCCCCTAAGATATCTTCGCGTACCCCCGGGGGTACACGTACTCCAGGTTGAATACCACTGGTATAGATCGTTGTCTTCTGGTTAGGAATTTGCTGTAGGAGTTAATCGCTGAAAGTTGCTGGTTTGATTGTATAGGACCTTTGTAAAAACTTCGTATTGTGGTACAGTCACATTAAAAACAACGGATGGAAATCAGAAATTCCATTTTTCCAGGTCACGTTACTAGAAGAATATCTCTGGCTAGAGACGGACATTTCCCTCGGCCACAACGTAAGTGTTTAGGAGCTAACAACCCTCGTGTTATTGTTTTGTTTGTATTTTAACGCGTCGACCATGAATTTGTTAAAATCTACCTTCATACCTATAAACCATCTTCATAGATATTTAGTTTCTATTTCGTGTATCATACGAGCGTTCAAATTTTGAGGACCAAGTCTTCAAGACTTGGCTAAGCCCCCTAAGGGCAATCACAACATTCTTAAGTAATGCAGCACAGTCAAGAAACTTTTACTGGTTATTAGCATTCTACTTTTTTTTTAAAAGAAAAATAATGAAACACCACGCGATTACCTTCAAGAGCATTTAACTAACTGATCTTTGTAATTCTGAACTGTCATGAAGATTGCTGTCTTCTGGGTTGTTTCGCCGTAGATGGACAGCAATCTTTAGACCCACCGCCTTGTAAACCTCAAATCTTAAATTGAACTGTTGTATTTTCTTTATGGTACAGACTAAATGTTTAAATAATATTTAGACAAATTTCGGCTTCGATGGGTTAAATGCTTCACATTGTAGGCCCTCGTTTCGGAAAGTTCTTTAAACTGAGATTTAATTTACTTTTTACGCAACCTGATATTGACCAAACTTGGAAGTTCTCACAGTTATATTTCTAATGTGGGCCCTGTTCATTTTTCTCTCCGGACAAAAAAAAAAGTGACCTAATTCACAATTACATGTATTTTGGTGGAATAAAATATGGATAATATAATTCTTCAAAGGAATTGGCAGTATCATGCGGAATGAACGAAGAGATATTGTGTTTTCAGAAGAGAAAACAAGAACGAGAAAGACCTAAGAAGAGATGGAAAGATCCGTTACAGGAGATCCAGTTCTCTTCGTTATAGGTTCAAACCGGTTGTATTGTCCACCGATCCCCGATCTGTGGCTCCTTTTTCGGGGATAAAACAGCCGGGGTCGTGAAGGTGACCACTCACTGTAGCGCCGAGGTTAAAACGCGTGGAGCTACACCCCCAATCCTACAGGCATCAAGGACATCTTTGTCTTTATGGTTATCCCTTTGTTCGTCCAGAGGCATTGATGGAAGGTGTAGGCACCGAAGCGACAACTGACTGACCTTCTGAGCATCCCGGTCCTTCTAATCCGCGGGGTTCTTATGATAATCACCTGGTTTCAGGAAGAAATCGAAAATCAGCCAAGGCCTCACCGTCAGAGAACATGTGAGTCTGCTTCTGTTTCATGATAACACATTATGCAGTTTCTTCTACTTACCTTCCTCAATTTAAGGAGGTGTCCCATTAAGTGACAGTATCCTGTTATGTCGCAGGGAGGTTCGGATCCTATAAATGGGAGCAGGGAGCCAATTTTGGCCATCTGTTCCGCAGATTCGATGCCCCGACACCCACATCGAATTCAGGTGTGTTATTCGGTCTGTGTTCGTCAGACAACCTTTATCATCTGAGAACTGACCCATCCGTGACCCTCCGTAATTGCAACAGGCAGCGGACCCCATGGAGGTCACGTGTATAATTGGTTCTTGTCAGTAACCAGGGGTTCATTAACCGAGCCGACACACAATGAGCTGCCGCTGTTAGCCACTGAAGACGAATTCCGCTTTTTTTTTCCACAAATTGCATGTTTAATGACGTTGATTAAGATACCGGAACGTTCCATACTTCTGTGTGTCTGTCTCTCGCTTTCAAAGTGCTGTTAGTTGCCTCGAGAAAACAATTGTGTTCAAAATTTGTGTTGTTATGGATAATTTGAACAAATTACGCTGACAGTAGCTACGATCCCGGAGTAGTTCAGTAAGCGTTGGATTTCTATGGCCTGGATGACTGGGGTTTGATTCAGACAGGGGCAAGAATGTTTTTGTTTGTCGCCTCATCCAGACCGGTTGTCAGTCCATCTACTGTCTGCAAAATGGCAAATGGATGATATATAAATATTTCAGAGTATGGAGCTCTGTAATCGACTCCATCTAGTGCCTATATTAAGAATGTATGGAGTTAAACCTTAGTTTTCACACACGTCTTCATGGCGTGGTTTTAATTAAGCGTAGGGAAATTTACTTTTACGTGAGTAGATCTTCAAGAGTCTATAGTTCTTGTCATTTTTTTTTTTCATGTTGAGAATTTTAATTTCCATAAGTCCTGAAAGATTTCGACGTGGATTGGATTATCAGAATTTGTACCAGGGGCGAGTTTGTGTTATCACGGTAATGAACATTCGGATTCAAGAAAGACGGAATTTATTTTGAAAGTAAAAGTCGGCATTTGAAGAAGGTTTTCACTGCATTGAATTTAATATAATGAATATCAACTCCACTGGGTAATCGAGGGTTCAACGTGCCCTGTCACTTCTGTGATCGATCTTATATCATAAATCGAAGTGTCGCTGTTCGATTGCATGAAGGAATTAAGTGTGACACTGGATTTCGTACTTTCGCCTTCCGTGGAATGCGTACATTCAATCGCACGTGATCCTTCCAGGTCAACCCCTCCAGCAAAGAGATCCGAGCTCCCTGTACTTGGCATGCGAGGCGATATCATGGGACCAGTCTGTAAAATAGCCAATTCCGTGTAGCAGAGTCCTTATTGAGAAGGTAGTCGTCGCTAAGCCAGTCGAGAAATTCCTCGCCTTTTATGTTTCCATGCTCGTAAGAGCCCCGAAACTGGTTTTTATTCTGCCCGATAAATCCAGTCCACATACTTTAACCCTAAGATAAAAACGCATTATTACATTATCCCCATCCACGCCTCAGTCTGCCAAGTGGATTTTCCTTTCAGAATTCTTGGCTCATTTTTTATACTTTCTATGTTTGGCCTCCTTTATTCGATATCATTCATAACATTCGCTGATTATCACCAGTATAAGCCTGTCTAGCCATTTCTGTATGTGTCCTAAAATGTTCTAATTGATGAAAAGAGCGATTCTGAACAGTTTTGCTAAGAAGAAAATATGGAGTTTTTTTCGGGAGGTATCAGATTCGAATCTCGGCTGTGCTACCGCGTATCATAAAGTCTCATATGTTCTTCGCTGCTCTCTCCAGAACGATGCTTGGATAGTAAAATATAGCTTTTCAAATCCTTATATACTCAACAATCTTGATGACATTCCCATCTTATTTGAGTCTATATAATCTCTGTGTTTGAAACATCGTCGCTGAATTACAAGACCCTGATAATAATGAAAAGTGATACTCCTCTTGAAGTGGGAAATATAACTCAAAGACTCCCGAGATTGAGCGCGATCCCCAGTCATTTTTGTTCACTTAAACATATTTTATTTAAATCCAGCTTAATATTTTACCCAGATATTCTGTAATGTCTTCGAAGTGTCAATTTTCTAAAAAAATTTATCGCCAAAATTCTCTATGCATGAATTATACACTTTCCAAACACTTTAATGTTATTTGATTTTGTTATATGTAACGATATGGAAAATATCACAGATGAAAAATGTTTGTAACGTTCCTTGACACGTGATCATATATTGTTGCCTACTATAACCACTTTCATTGTATACAAGGTTATCTGGAAATTCTGTGCAATCTTTTGCGGTGAATTCTACACGGCTAACATCACGTAACTTTTGTATGAAAATGAGTCAGGAAGCACTTCCTTTTCGAGTTACTGCCCTGAAAGAATGTTTGCAACGTTGGTTCACAGGCAAAGAATGTTGAGATTTATTGCAAAATGAGTTGTCCAGTCTACTTGATGATTTACCGCTGGCGG